CTTCTCCGACGATTTTCTCTTTCTCGTAATATTCCACACCGTGCCAGAGTCCCATGGCGCTAGCGCTCAACAAGCCTGTGTTGTCAAATAATTTCCATTTGTAAATATAATTACCAACAACTTCTGCCCCGCTTCGAAACTTCTGATCTGACTTAACCATGTGTTTTGAACGATTGCAAAGATTGTGAAACCGTGACGTATTTTCAATAGTCGGTGTAAGAAAGAACAGGTTAGAATAATATTCATTGGATTTTTACGAAGCCACTAACATGCTAGCAACATCAAGATTGCAGTGGCGGTGATATTCCCTGGTGACCTCTTCCAACAGCCCACCACTCCCGTCCAGAATGCCGTGAAGATTGCAACGAATCCCACTATAAACAGAGCTATCACAGATCTGCCCATGTCTGGAAACCAATAAAATCAAGACAGCGATGAAGATGTGCGTCAGATCATCTAAATTTCAAGGCAACACCGTCGGTATTGTATCAACGATGCTTCATTTAATTTCCATTCTACGTACGAAGTCGAGTCATCGCGTCGTCGGAGAAACCCCTCGTCAGATTTTCCTCGTCGGGGATGAAGTAATTGATGTTCATGCAGTGCGTCTCCACAGGACTCAAGTAGGTTTGAACTGCAACAGATTTAATCACTTTGAGAAACACTGTGTCAAGCTTGACGTTTTAATCGACCAAATTTGCGACATCAATTTTTGTTTAAACAAGTTTCGGACGATTGATTCGATGGAGAGCCATGGAAACCTGCCACGTGTCATTGCGAAACGAACGAGCTTCGAATTTTTAACGAATACCCTGTTCATAGGTGGGAAACCTGAAACTGAATTGTCTTCCAAATTAAAATTTGTTGCAACCGATGGCGACTCGAATAATCCGAATCAATCGTAGGAATTCCCGAGCTCTGAATGGTGTCGGGTTTTTTCGTTACAGCCCTGGCATATCGAAAAGCACGTGACCCAGAATCCAATGCGCTATCACCGGCTGCAAAGCATGCACACACGCGTGCATATGTGTGCACGCATATGCCCGAGTTGGTTGGTACCTCTCTATCTTGTCTTTCGTGGGCAACGGTACCTCTTTGGTCATTCCAAATCTACGAAATACATACTATACAACTTTCGAAAGGCATTTCACGTGGTGAAAAGAAAAAGTTGCGCT